AGAGGTGAAGATGGGGGGAAATCAGAGCTGGCAGGTCTTTATGCTCCTACATGTCTGTGGTTGAGCTGCTCATGCTCAGGTTACAGCAGCTATACTCAGCACAAGACACGTCAGTGTTTATCTCACACACTCAAGCATGAGTTACAATCCTCCGCTCTCTATTATTTCACAATACAAACACATCATTTTTACGATTGTGGTTTAAAGTCACAATAAAGTCATCAGAAAGTTTAAAGCCGGGAGTTCCAGGGTTACTCGGTTAGCCCTCTGGGGTCTGAGAGCGTTTTCTCGATTTGTGCATAACTTCTTAAATTTTCCTTTAAAGGCTCTTCATATAACATGATCCTCATATGATTCATATGAAAATGCTCCGTTATCTTCATCACTGCTTTCCAAAATCACTGCAGCAACTTCAGCAGCTGTTAACTCTCTGCATACCATTTCAAATGTGTCTCCGACGTGGACTGAATGAAGGGTTTCCGGCATGATGGTCAGTCCTAAGTGATTTCCTGAGTGTCTATTGGTCAGTTTCACACTCAAGGTAGTCAAACACACGAATCCACCAGTTACACTAGGCTCATAACTCCGGATGTGAGTCACATACGATCTCGCGATAAGATGGAACGGAAAGGGCGACTCCACAGATTCAGGAAATATTTGAACTGCATTTCTGCGCTGGATTATTACAAGATAGAAACAGATATAGAAACGTGGAATTTGACGCACGGGCTAGTTTGTGGACCCCAGAGGGTTAAGGTGTCAGACTTTAAATAATGAAATCGATGGTGCAAATTCAGGGGGGCAGTTCTGGAGGTTGTGGGATGGTTGTTGAAAAAAGTTGTTGCAAAAGAGCTGTCAGATATCGATTATTATAACTGTCAATTACAGTTTAGAAACTCTAATTAAAGCAAAAACTGACTGGTGTTTTATTTCATTATAGTCAGTCATTTGTAGGAATGACTGTCCTGGAAGCGTTTACTTCTCTACTGTAGTTTTATCACTGACTGACGCCAAAACAGTTATTAATCTCTGTCCTGAACATGTATCATATTCCTCTTATTTGTTTTTGTGTTTTACTACAGACATATTAAGCATATCAATATAGTAAGTGTAATTGTCAGCATATTTTGTTTACCCACTTTTATGTTTGAATTGCTGTGTTTTAGCTACAGCCTGCCAATATTGCCCCTCTAATCTCCTTGCTCCCCACCCCACCCCCTTGCTAGACCAAATCTCCCTGCCTGAAATCACTATTTGGGTATTTGTTATGCTTCTGAACAGGAAGAGTGAAAACTTCTTAATACGTTTTAACAGAACTGAAAAATGTGAAAGTTTTGCCTGAATTTGCAAGTAAGTAAGACCCTGTTTACACCTGGTCACTTCATGTGTCTTGAGTATCAGGATTATATCTGGTTAAGGTGGCCAAGACACATAAAAATGCAAGTGTAAACACTCTGAGGAGGTGGTCTGAGATGCATTTGAGCCACGTTATAGCAGTGTAAACGTATCCATCACTCCAACACATTCGACAACCAAAGCCCCTCCCAGTACAGCCAAAACTCCTCCCAGTACAACCAAAACTCCTCCTACTGCAACCAAAACCCCTCAGAGTACAACCAAAAACTCCTTCTAGTACAATCAAAACCCCTCCTAGTACTACTGAAGCTCCTCCCGACTGGATGAGGACGACTGGATGAAATGAAATGATGAACAGCAATATGGACAGACACTACTGAGCAAAACAAACTGCAGACGAAGAGACTGAACAGATAAACAACTAATTGGTAACTGGTCGCCGCGTAATGAGTGGATTTGCATATTCCTTCCCACACAGTAATCAGATTTTAGTTTGGCTAACCGGAGACAAATTCGACTACCTAGTATAAATGTATATGCCTTAAATCTTATCAGGATACAGTCCAGATAATAGTCACATGAAGCGACCATATGTAAACGGGATCCATGTTATGCTGTACTTTGCTACGTGAGTGTGGGTGCGTAGCTAAGAGAGTGACTGAGAGGGCAGAGATAGTATGGGTTTTATTGCTAAATAGGCTAGACTGATGTTCAGCCTAGAAAGAGTTAAAAAATATTTCTCTGACTAACTAACGTGTGCACATCGTTCACTAGAGAACACCATCTGTACACTCTCAGAAATAAAGGTACGAAACTGTCACTGGGGCAGTTCCCCTCTTGTCACTGGGGTGGTCCCCTCAAGGGTACATCTCAGTACCTTTAGTCAGAGAACATAACTGAACCATAATCCACTGAAATGATATGTTGTAAGTTGTACTGACTCCACACACCCCGTCTCGTCTCCAGGACTTTTATTTTACTGTTCTGTTTTAAAACATTCGGTTATGAAAAGGTACAAATACGAACTTTTCACCTGGAAAAACTCATTTAAGGTTCACAGTCAGACCTTAAAACCACTGTTGTACCTTTGAGGGCACATTTACATTGTTTGTACCTTGAAGAATGAAAAATGGCCCTGCACAGAACCTTTAATTCTAACATCTGCAGAAGACGATGAGTGTCTATCAGCGCCCAGCATTACTGGTTAGCAGTAGTTTTAGCTCATGACTTCATCTGAAAATCCACCTATTTTGGCTATTTATGAATAATTAAGCATGTTTTGAAATGTATTGCTCTGTGTGAGGCTAAATGTTTGTGCTGTCACCTAAAAATCCCATATCTCTACACTAATTGCAGCTAAACTCTGTCATTATTGTTTTGGGTTTGTTTTTTTCCTTCTCTGCGGTTTACTGGACACTCGCTCACGAACTCTCACGGATACTCAAATATCAAAATTAGTCAGAATTCACATGTCTAGTCCAGTAGATTTTGCTGCTTAATATGGCAAAGAAGAAGTGTCTACGTTGAGGGATGGGTGATTTTTCGAAGTGGGGCTAAACCTGCAGAAAAACAAATGTGTAGACAAGCTCTGAGGGACATCTTGTTTAAAAGCTATTAAATGCTTCAAGAAAATAACTTGAATAACTTTTAAAGATGTGAAGCTGTGATGTTCTTTTTCAACGCAGTGACTACATCACTCCAAGAGGCTCAGTAACGCTACACAGAACGGGCAACAGCTTGCGATCATGTGTTTCCCTTTAGACAGGCACGACCCACTACATCAGTCAGAAAGCAAATGCCAAAATCCTGATCGCTGTGGGCAGCTTAAAATGCAAAAGACTCTCCGTCTACGTGTGGGCGGAGCATCTGGGACAGAGACCGAGGGGTTCTTAACCGCTGGGCCGTGCTGTGGGTGGTTTGGCGCCAGGCCGAAAGAACAAGGCAGTGAGCCCTGGGGAGGAACTGCTGAACTCCACGACTTTATTAAAATGATTATTATTAATGTAATTATTTAAGGCCTAAATCTTCATGCATGTGTACAGGTTGCTTCTGGCTGCTTTCAGCTGATGGTGAGTGTGAAAAGTAGGAGAATAAGTTTCGGAGTGTAAGTTTTTTTTTTTTTTAAACCAAGTCATTTTTAAGTAAGTCAAAAAGTAAAGAAACTGATAAATTCTTTATTGGGGCTGAAAACCCAGAACAAAAACCCATCAGAGACCAGAAGAAGAAAAAAATATATAATTCAATCAGAAATATTATACAGCCACATAATTACTGGGTTTACTGGAAGGTGTGCTAGAAAAAGAGGCTACGAAGCCATCGAATCACTTTGAGACAAAACATTACTTCGCAATAGAAAAACAAAGTCTGTGCGACCCCCCCATCCTCCCCCCGTGGGTCATTTCATTCTTTGTTTTACATCATTGGAAAACACCAGCTGTTTACATCGTGTGAACATTTTATGACTAACGGATAAACAGAAATGATCCAAAATGACCTAAAATAAAATCTCACTACATTAACCGACATTAAAGCTCAGAAGGTTCTTTCTTTCTCTTATAAAGCTTTGATTTCAGAGATATGAAGTATGAAGTTTTCTTATCAAGATGATATTCTAGGTCTGTTATTCTGCTTCTGAACTGTGGAACTAAATTCCACCTTTTATTAGACAGTCATTTGAAAACGTATCTTTATGGTATTTATTTTCTTAATTTGATTTGTATATGATTTAAATTTAATACTCATAATTTCTTTTATCACTGTTGAGCTTCATCACCTGTATATCAAGCAATTTGAGCTGCCAAAGTATGGAAATTGCTCTAAAATAAAGATGTTATTATTATTATTACTGAACCACAGAAAGATTTCAGCATGAATATGAGTGAATATGACTGGCTCAGAATTGTGTTCTGCGCACGACTAGCAGCCTGCTAATCAGTTTAATTACACTGCCGGTCTTACCAAACAAGACTGATGACTGGAGTAATTTGGGGTTAACCATAAATTTGTAAGCGAGCATGCATGATGATGTGAAGCCCCTGCCCTGCACATTTGAGCGTTTTTCCTGCTCTAAAACACCCACGACCCAGGAAGGGCCTGTTAACTATTATCGAACTTGGTAACCCCAGTCAATTTACACACTTTGTTGATTTTATAAGTAAAAACAAGTGAACATGTCCTCTACAGAACACACTTCTGCAAATTTTAAGGCACAGAATGAAAGGATAAAACATAAATTAGAAAATGTGCCATAACATTTGCACAGGCCTCACTTTCTGTTTTATTTTTTATTGTGAAATTCAGCAAATAAACAGTAATTGTGTATTAAAATGTGCAGAAGTGTGTTCTCTGTAGAGGACGTGTTAACTTATTTACGCTTAAAAAATGAACAAAAACATGAAATTTGACCAGAGGTGCACAAACTTTTGCATAAGACTGTAAATGTGTTCAAAATGGTAGTCTGTGACAGCATAAAATATATGAATTTTTTAAATTAGATCACATATCAAAATAAATGCTGAAGAAGAGCAGATTTAATGCTGACTTTATTAGCTGATTAGCTGGATCAGGTGTGTCAGTGCAGGATAAGCTCAAGACTGTGCAGGACCAGGTTTAGAAAGCAATGAAGCAAGTTTACTCAAGCTCACTCTTGATTGGACGAGCAGGCTTACCGGGCTGGCCTGTGGATCTGACGGGTCACAGGCCAGAGAGACCAGGTCCTTGAGCGGGTCTTGCGTGCTGAGGTGGGGGGGATAGCGGATGGCCGTATGCGGGAAGTAGGTGGAGGTGGACTGGGGCAGAATGGGGGTAGTCGAAAAATGCAGCGACGAGGAGGGGTGCGGACTCCGAGAGATACCTGCAAGAGAGTCGACACCAAAGAGACAGATTTCAGCTTTTATTAAATGGACATTGACACTTTGAACTGAATGCTATACTTGTGTATCCAACTACATACATGCATCCATAAAGGTCATACTGGACAGTTGTTAACATAGATTATCATTTACAGCACACAGTCACTCGGTTCATTCACTGGATGTGACGTGCACCACTGCATTGTCAAGTGCATAGTATTTATGCGATTTACTTATTGTTTTTGTACTACACATTTATTTTTATTGTTGTTTTAGTATATTTTATTATATATGCATCTGTAAATGCATGCCAATACTTTGCTCCTGTTTATTTTGCTCTTGTTTTGCTCTTTACTGTACTTTGTACTGCTGCAATAGAAGAATTTCCCTCTGGGATTAGTAAATTGACCCAACCACCAACCAACCAACCAACCAACCCACCTACTACCTACCTACCTACTACCTACCTGCCTAACTACCTACCTACCTGCCTACCTACCTATCTATTTCTACTGAACTTGACCATAAGAGCTATATAAACTTGCATCTTCAAAATTGATAACTTTACAAAAGTAGGAAAGATATTCAGAACTTAATGTAAGTTAATGTAAAAATATTGTACTCCAAGCAGTTCTAGATCATTTCTATAAGATCAGTCATCTTGAAGTTTTCACATACCATAAAGGGCAGATTTTAAATAATGGCCAAAAATGAAAAAATGAAAAAATGAAATCAGGACGAAAATGGAGATACTTTGTTCTGACAGTGACAATATGCTTGTCTATGTACTCCAATAGATGCTCATTTCTGCTGTTAGGTGTGCTGTTTTATGATACACTGTAAATATTAGTGCTGTAAATTGTCAAGTTTTCAATGAGTCAATCAGCTACACATAAATAAAATGTTCTACATCAACCGCTGGTTACTTTTGATAAGAGTTGTGTCGATGTATACTACTGATCAATATAAATATAATAATCTAATCAATTTATAAATATAAACATAATGATTTAATTAATTAAATATATAATTCAAGATAAATGCATAAAATAATTGAATATGCTAGTCCTAAGCAATGTCAGTGTTATAGCTACTACTACTATCTACTAATTAATAGACAACTACAAGAAATGGAAATAGATAATTACAGTACATTATTTACTGTACATAACCCAAAATCTATGATATATCGACTACACTAAATTTAAAATGGTGATCAGGCAATAAGATTTAAATCTACACTGTGTAAAATAGCAAATAAAATATCACTTATAACACATTATTAATATAAGAAATGATTCATTGTAAATTATTCAGTATCTAATTTAAATTATTCGGAAACTACTATGAATTATTCTGTAACTATTAAGAAGAAGTTATGAGAGTGAGCACTTGAAGTGAACTTTAAAGGGTTAGTTGAACTTAGCAACCATTAGCTTTTCTCTGTAGTCTTATGGCAGAACAACATGTTCATTGAGATTACAATGAGGAACTTGCATCTGCACTCGACGACGCAATGCATGCACCACACGTCAGTTCTGAGATCACCTAACAGCCAACTACCCGCACTGAATGAATGTCTTTTTGCTGGGCTGTCAAGCGTCTTAGATCTCTATTCTCCTAATCCTTCTGGAAATGAACAATTTTCAGTGATGCTGATTTCCATAATTCATCGCGACAGCTGTAATATCAGCGCTAACGCTCCTCTCCTGGTGACATATGGTGTCGATGCTCCACCAGTTCATTTGAACGGCGGCGCTAATTGTTGTAGCATCGTTGTGCAGACAGTGGAGCGTTGCCAGACAACAGATTACTCCTCATTGTCCCGGAGACAATTACCTGTCACAGAGAGCACTGCTGTCTGCAGAGTGTTGTACGCCCTGCAATAAAGCAGCTCATCACGCACACATACTAACTGCTCTTCCTGTCCCAGACAGCCTGTCAGGTCCAATACTCACCCCGAGCGAGCACTCTCACTTCAATGCCACTGACAAAGACCAAGTGCACTCCAAGTATGGAGGTATGAAGTCTGGCTACAGACCTGAACTACAATTAGACCACCATTAACTGTCAATTCCCACATTATAGCCCTATTGGAGCTGGATTAGTTTTACCTGTGACCGCACTGCGATTGAAGTGATTAATGACAATATCAGTCATTTTAATCTGCAGTGTGAACAGTTTTTATGCCATGTGGCCAGTGGTAGTGGTATGAATGGGCCCAGCGGGCCTACAGCCACCCACTTTTAGCGCTGACTCACTCAAAATGACTTACAATATTTCTACCACATCTTTTCAAACTGCTGCTAATGCAATATCATCAGAGCTCAACATGCTTGGAGAAGAAAGCTAACAGCTAATTCTATTAAATTAGCAAACAGACGCCGGCATTGGCCCAGCACTGCGTTGAGTGATAGGGGAGAGGAAGGACCATCCTACCCACCCACGGATGATCTCCTGGACTCCCAGCCATGGATGGCTGTGGCATCAACAGGGATCAAAGACCATCTACAGTCTCCAGAAAATGTGTACATTTTCACTCTGGTACTAGAAGCATTAGTTTATCTAGTGCTGAATCAGCAATATTGCTGACAGCATTTGGATGGATACGAATGTAAGGAGGAGTAAAGCACAGGTTTAAAGCTACACTACGTAAGATTTGGGGATTTGGAGACCTCTCTGGTAGAAATGTGTAATGGCATGCAGCGTGCGGAAGAACATTTTGTACTGTGGGTTGTGCTTCGGACCCCTTCCCTGAGAGGATGAATCTGACTGTGAATGCCTTGAAAGAGAATTCAAAGAGAACTCCGTCAAAACTTGGTGAAGGACGTCTCTTCTGAGGATGTGAGTGAATTATCTACTCCAAAAGCAATCGGAGACGGGAAGTTTCTCTACAATAAACAGTATTACATCAAACCACGCTAAAAGAGTTTGTTGACATCTCAACCACTGAATTATGATTTATGTTTTTTATTAGTAAAATTCTCAAGTCTCCTCACCGCTGTGCACTGCGATGACGGGTCTGTGGTGCTGTGTGAAGCTGCTGAGGCGAGGAGAACTCTCCTGAGGAGACGGACTATCCATCTCAGTCTTCTTCACTGTCGGGGAGATCCCTGAGAGAGAGAGAGAGAGAGAGAGAGAGAGAGAGAGAGAGAGAGAGAGAGAGAGAGAGAGGTCAGCCTTGCTGTTCCACACAAGGACAAACTTCAGTAATGCCAAAACAAAATGCTTACGCAGCTAACTGACCAGCTCCTCTATTTACGCCCTGTGAAGCCAGACTGCAGCTGCCATTTCTGACCACAGAGTGGCGCAGTGTGTTCAGAGCACGCCACCCTCCAGTGCTGCAGTGAACTGCAGTGTTTATGGGCCACTCTCATGTCCCTGTGGAGCTACAGCAGCAGTGTCAAGGTTTGTGTATGTGTGCCTGACTGGAGGAATGATCCACCGGCAGCAGACACATTTATTTCCTAAGACTTTTTTATAGGACGCAGCTGATATGAAATATGAAACCAGAGTTTCACTGTACAGTAACCTACTTAAGATGCCTCCATATTTGAACATCATCCCAAATATGCTGATCTTATGTACCTTGTAGCCTACAGTACTGTCCAAAAGCCAGAGACCTTTGTTTGTTAAATTCCCAGTCAAAACAGACAGGAAAAAAGCTGAAAATTACACAACAACTGAATAATATTAGTTTTCCAGTATTTAGTGAGTCACTCTTCACCTTTATTACAGCTTCCATTCTTTTCTGGAGACTCACTTTCAGTTTCTCAAAGAATCTGCAGACACACCTCCAAAGTTCAGTCTTAGAAGCTGGTTGATCATTTTCTGAAGTAATCAAACCCATTCCGTGATGTTGAGGTCTGGACTCTGGGGTGGTCAGTCCATTGTTCAGCTTCTTTGTTTGAAGTGTACGTCTCCTTTTCTCAGTGAGGTTCTTCTTGACAGCTACACATCCTTTCAGACCCACAGCGCTGAGTCGTCTTCTCACAGTGGAAGGATGGACAGAAACACCTGTGGATGTTTGCAGATCTGAAGCAGCTTGATTTTCTCCTCTCTCTCAGAGATGAAAGCTTTAAGTGCTGTTTATCTGATGGGGGACAGTTTTGGTGTCTACCAGGTCTTCCAGGTGGTTGTTAGGAGCCCCATTTTCTCTTTTTAGTAATTTTTTTGAACTCCAGTTTTGAAAACAACTGTTTTTTCACCTATTTTCCTTTGCCTTTCTCCTTCCTTATGCAAGTGGATTATCTTGTATCTAATCATCACAGAAATATCTCTTGAAAAATTAATAAATGCCCGTTTTGACTAAAACTTAAATGTGGTCTCTGACTTTTGCACATTAACTAATTAGAACTGTATGGGTTTTATATACTATGGGAATACCTGCAGACATGTGAAAGGTTCTTAGCAGCTCAGTGACTCTGAACAAGGTAATATGTTTACTTTATGGAGTGAGTAACTGAATATTTAATAAAATTATGCATCTTCTTTGTATTTAAAATTAGAATATATTACACTATTTGACAAACAAACAAGTGGAAAATTCGCATTTGATTTCTGATTCCATTTGACAGCCAAAATGTCAAAATGGTTGAATGTTTTGATAAGTTTAAATGGAAATGTGCTGGAATTTCACTTTGTAATGAATACTTTAAAGGTCTAAATGGAAAAAGTATAATAATAAAGTATTTTTCTCTTTGAAATGTAATTGACGAAAAGTATTACAGAAATCTTCCAAAATAGTACTTAAGTACAGTAATAAAGTACAATTACTGAACTCTACCTATTAACGTCCAGGTTTACAGATTTCCAAAAGCCACCTGGAGTCTGCAGCTGCTGCTCAGGCTGTGAGTCTATGAGTACCTGTGAGTCTACGAGCACCCCCGCCCCCCTTAAGAGTAATCAGTCAGACAGGCTCGTTAAAGAGGACCTCATTAGAGCTGTCTAGACAGGAAGTGAGGTGGGCGGGGTTGCCCTCCTGCAGGGCGTCCCGCTGAGAACTGATCCCAGACCAGCTTTACTTCCAGGTTTACATGGCTGAAGGTTTGGAGGAGCCCTCGCAGACTGATCTCAGAGCAGTCTAGAAGACCCCCAGCACCACACTTCTGAACACTGACCACACTGTGCTTAACATTTAGTGTTTTTTTTTCCACAACTTTAAAACACACCTGATTCAACAAGCTCACAGTTTTTATCATACACCTCTGAGGCAGGGGTCTTCAACTCCAGTCCAGCACAGTTTAGCCATTTTCCTTCAAAACCCACCTGATCCAACTCAGCAGCTAATAACCAGGTTCAGGAGGTTTGTTAGAGCTGGGAAATCAACAAAACTGTGATGGACTGCAGCCGTCCAGGACCAGAACTGAACTTCCCTGCTCTAGGGACTGAAAGAATAAGGCACGGGATTTTCCTGATTCAAATAATTTACTCACAAATAAAATATAGATTATGTATGTACCAAACTTAAGTAAAGAGAACAACATACCTGATGAAAACAATGCAAAATAATAAAAATAAGCCCATATGGACAAAAAATATATTCCAAATGTATTTATCAAATACATTTTTGCAATGTATGAAAATGGCCAAAATATATTTGTTAAATATATTTTTAAAATGCACTGATTTGTATTTTTTATAATTTTTCAGTTGTGTGTAGTTTTATCAAAGGTTGTGTTTTGCATTAATCATGTACGTATGCAGTAAGACACTCACACACAATGTATTTAAAAAAAACAGGATATCAAATCATCAAATAACTGCATTTTCACAGTGTATCAGTACCTACAACACTCGCTTTTGCCATGTTAAACGTTCATTTTGCTGCTGTCGGAACAAAACCTCTTGCATAATTTGAAAGTACCTGTTGCTCTTTACACTGTGTGTAAATTTCATGATGAATGGACGAAAAGAAACGGCCCAGAATGACTTGGAAAAACGTCTGGTTCCGCTGACTTGCATTAAAAGTAAAGTATGTTTTTTCCTTCTCCTGTAAATTTATCAATTTGGAGACAACAGTGATTTGCTAATATTTACAGTGATTTGCTAAAGATGCTAGAATACAAACTCATTTCAAAAGCTATCCAAACAGTAAAGTGCATTAGACAGTATTTGAGTTTCGAATGTATTTGATATACATTCATACATTTTTCTATGCATTAATCTTTATATAGTACATTTCTATACGTAATGTTTTCTCACACATTTTAAAATAAATGTATTTTAAAATGTTGCTGCTGTCAGAAGAAAACCTTGTATCTCCATTTTTGACATGATTTGAAAATGCCTGTTGTCCTTTGTGTGCAAATTTCATCATGAATGGACCAAAAGAAATGACAAAAAAATCACTTGGAAAAAAATTCTGGTTCCATTGACTTACATTAAAAGTAAAGTAGGTTTTTTCCTTCTCCTGTTAAGTCATTTTGGAGACAAGGTTTTCATCCGACAACAGCGATATATTTGGCTAATATGGCAATATTTTCTGAAATATATTTTAGTGTTTGGAATGTATTTTGGGATGGACTGCAATGTGTTATTTGTGTATTTCAAATATATAGAAGTACATGTCCATATATCTTTTTTCCATATGGGAGTAAAGCCTTGTTTAACTATAACCGTTGGAATCTGTGTAATTTTTGACCGCATTAAATTACATCAGCCGACATCATCAGTTATTTTAAAGATGTGGTAATAATTACACATTACTGCACCACCTGATGTAAAATCCCACCCAAATTACACTTTACAGAACTCTGCTGGACACCATCTGAGCTCAGCAGCTCAGGTGGGCACACCTGGCCCATGCTGAGGAGCCTGTGGGGCAGAACCACAGTAAGAGGTAACAGCAGTGAACATAAGAAACTACATGGACACCAAGGCACACAGTAGACCCCTTGCTGACCCCATTTAGACCCTGTATCTCCAAAATGGTTACTTTACAGGGGAAGGAAAAACATTCTAAACTTCTAATGTGAGTTAATAATGAAATAATACTCGGAAAAAAAACAACATAAATGTTCCGACAGCAACAATACGGATCGTAACCTGATAAGATTCTCCCCAAATGTGTCTCTGATTAATCGGTGTGAAATCTGATTGCTAATATGGTGCATAAATTGCAAGCCAGCTCATAACATGACTGCTAACTGCCTCTGCTGTTTTTTTTTTCTGTTCTATTCAAAACAAAAGCTGTCGCCTCTGAAATTTTGCATGGTTTTGTTGACATTCTCAAACTGCAACTGATGTTTATGAGACCACAGCTGTTTAGACTATATAGCTTTATGTATAGATGTCAAGGAGCAGCAAAAAGTGGTTTTCTGTTAAAAACTGTTTTCTGTTAATAATGCGATTTCACAGTGCTGTTGTTGCATTTTATGTACATACAGAATATGATCTTTTAGGGAAAAAAACAATAATTCTGAGATTTTTATTCAGTTTGTCACGAAACTACCACAACAAAACGCATGAACAGGAATGAACACCGACCAGCCAAAACACGGCAAACCACCTGCCTAATATGCTGTTTGCCCCTCTACATGCCACCAGACAAGCTGCCGAGGCCTGGACTCTACAAGACCTCTGAAAGCGCTCTGTGGCATCTTGCACCAAGACAGAGTAACACTTTATTTGGATGGTCCACCGAAGATGCTTTGTACATGCTCAGTCTATATTTAACTAACATTCAGATAAATATCTATTAAATGCAACTGAATTTGAAGTTACGTATGAAAGATTCTATTAAATCTATACCTAATCCTAAACATAAACCTAACCTCAAGACAAAACCTACGCCTACTCCTAGACCTAACCCTAACTTTAATGACCTACCCTAACTTTAACGTTGTTGACAATCAACTCCAGAAAGTCTGTTAATAATTTAAGTTTCTGTAGATTATCTATAAAGCACAATCCAAATAAAGTGTGACCGACATTAGTAGCAGATTCTATAAGTTCTGCAAGTTGTTGTTCCAGCACTTCCCACAGACGCTGGATCGGATTGAGATCTGGGGAATCTGGAGGCCACGGCAACATCTTGAACTCTTGTCCATGTTCCTCAAACCGTTCCTGAACAATCTGTGCGGTGTGGCAGGGAACATTATCCTGCTGAAAG